TTTTATACAAGCGTGACTGAGAAGCTGTGAGTAAACTGCTATTTCATTCCTTGAGTGGATCTTTTGGTACAGTCAAGACGCCTCTAGTAATTTAATTTACCTGGAGGAGGTAGGAGCCCTGTCAAACACACTCTGGTAAGCTACCAGTTTCGCAATCCATGCAGTCCTGGGCCTTTCCGATATTTGTCAAATATCAAAATTGCAGCTTGCCTTCAAGATTTTTCACCTTTAAAGTAAAGCAAAAAAGAACATCTCTAAAAGCCACTTATCTTTTCACTAACAGCTCTTGCAAAAGGTCTGGTGGAAGAACAGATGAATAATTAAAACAATAACAATGGCATTATTATGATTACCTGAGTCAATAAATGAGCACTTCACATATATTTTCTCATTTGGTCATCATCACAGTTCAAAACTGGTATTACCTTACAGAAAAAGAAAACGAGGTTTCACAGTTCCATAGCAATAAAAGGCTGCTGGTAAGAACCAGAAGCCCACCCAGATCTAATTCCAAAGCAGCTGTTCCACGGAAGTGGATAATGGGTAAATTTCAGTTATCCAGGCCTAGGTCACTAGCGGTCGCTGCACTGCTTCCAGTGGGCTGAGCGGAATGTGGCGTTTGGTGAGGGGTGTCCAGTAATGCAGACAGAGGCATCCAGGAGAGGCGGTGCCTCTGTCCGCTCGCTCTAACAAGACACGGCCTGCTCCCTACCCATTGGCTCAGCTGCCAACACTCGGCCTTCCAGTCCAGCAGACAGGGAAAGAGAGTGTATTCAAGGTCAACACGGGATAGAGACAAGGAGACCAGGCGGCCACCCTGACGGAACCAGGGCACCTGCTGTCTACCTCAGGGCCCTCCTGCAGCTCAGCCTGAGCTGTTAGAAACCCTTAACATCTCCCTGCCTGCGATGGCTCTTGTGCCACTTACTGCCTCTCTCTCCACGTCTCACTCCTTCGCAGCAACGGGCCCAGGGAACAAATAGTCCTCACAGGGCGCGAGGCCCTTGCCCACAACGAACGCCAGTTATCTCCACAGGAGCCAGCTGTACTGGCGTTTCTGAACCACAGCTCCAGACTTACATAAACTGGACCTGGAGGCTGCTTGCTTTGAAGTTCCCACACAAAACACAGTGGCTTCTGTGACATTTGGTGAACTGCAATCTAGTCACCCACTTAGATGACCAATTACCTAAAACAAACAGCGGGGTCTCTGAAAAGGAGGCATAGAAAGGCCGGGCTGTCTGGTTCACAGCAAAGGAGGTGGAGGGCACCTCAAACACAGCAACGGTCACTCGTAGTCATCATGACGCATAGGGTCCGCGTCACCATTTCAGTTTATCTGAGCTAACAAGCTATTTCTTATTCTTTTAAAGGGACTGGAGAGGTGAATTTCATTTTGAAACTCTTAAGGGGTAAAAGTCACACCACAGTCTTAAAAGGAGAGGAATGAGAATCTGTAGGTTAGACAAGGGAAGAGACAAAGCCCTCCCCTGA